GCTGACAAGAGAGAAGCTGAATTGAGAGGCTATTGCTAGGGGTGAATCACTGTTTACATTATTAAGGTGCCTTTTCTATCACAGGATTGGAGGCTTGGAATACTTGATTTGAGGAATATGAACCAGGATTTCTGGGATGTATGGGCTGGGAGAGACTGGTACTACTCAAAAGAGACTGAAAGGAATGCACAACTATGCAATGAACTGAGGCAGGATTTGAAGGTTGTCACTGAACTTAGTCTCAGTTCCCACCTGAAAGAACACCAAGCACACTTGTTGCATTGGGCCCAGCAGAGGAAAGACTGTGTGCGGCTGTGCTGTGTGAAGATGAAGATTTGTGACTCTCCAATCGAGATTATCAAGGAGGTCTTGGACATTTTCCCACCAGATTATATCGAGGAATTGGAGCTATACACAAGCCAGGTGCAGCCCTTCCTTTGTCACATCGCACCTCATCTTGGCCGTATGACAAGACTTCACAAATTGAATGTAATTCACATGGTCTTGAACATACACACAGTCAAAAATACCTTGGCGGATATAGAGATGTTTCCTGTCCAGTTTCTCTCTCATTTCTGCAACTTCAACTCCCTCAAGCATCTTTCCATTGATGGCATATACTTCCTCCCGGGCCACATGCAGGTTTTGTTTGGGTAAGGAATGATGGAGAACTGTTTCTACTGTTTCAGCAACCCCTTTCCCATTATTTCAAGTATCAGTGTACCGTGGGGGTGTCCCAGCCATTGGGGATTTAACAGTGATGGACTCATCAGAGTATCCAAGTGTGGACATGTATCCTTCTTAACTGAGGTTACTTGGTTCAATGACCAGCAGTCAGAGCTGGGGTAGGAAATGTTTAGAGAGCTGAATTGAAAGCAGTTCCATTGGGTGTGTCAGACACATTGAGTGTGCTGTGGACATTCCTTCTTGAGATCCTCGCTATGGTAATGGGAAGGGAACAGGGCAGAGTAGAAAGTCCTGAAGTGGGGAGTACCCACACCTGCATGGGAACCTAAGGTACTCTGTACCCAAATCTGTGAATAGGGTCCAGCTAGTTCTTCTGGTGCAGCCTGTCTCAGCCTCTAAGTCCCTCTGGAGAGAAGGACACTATGAGCACAGTTTGAGACATATTGGGTGGAAAATGTTTGGTGCTGGGGTGAGGGACTTTCAGTTTCAAGATTGGGACATTGAAATCAGGAATTGAAGCTGTGACTGGTAGCAGGGACAGTGGTGATTTATGTATGATACATGCCAAGATACTGCCAGAATATTTTTGTGGTAGTCCTCTGGGTATGAGCTCCTGGCCTGCGTTGGCAAATTCTAGTTCTATTTGACAGAAAGCAGATGGCGAGCTGGAGATATGTGGTCTGAGATCATTCCAGATTATGTATATGCCTCAGAATTCAATTATATGAGAATGAACCAGAAGGATGTATTCCAAGTGCTGACCTTCAGCATAAGGCTAGACTGACTTTGTATATATCGTCTGCTGTGTCTCAGTGTCAAATTTTTTGTGCCCTCTAAAAGCATAAAGTAATTTCCTTTTCTTCCCTAGATGCCTGAAAAGCCCATTGGAGACCTTGAACATCGCTCTCTGTCGTCTCTCCCAGTCAGACTTGAAACAGTTGTCACAGTGTCAGGGGCTCTGGCAACTGAAAAACCTGAAATTCAGAAATGTAGTTTTGTCCAGGTTGGGTGCCCCACATCTCAGAGTTCTACTTGAGAATACAGCAGACACTTTGCAGACCCTAGAGTTGGTGGAATGCTGGATGGAGGACTCTCATTTCAGTGCCCTGTTGCCTGCCCTGAGCCTGTGCTCACATCTCAACACTGTGAACTTCTGTGATAACAAGATTTCCACTGCAGTACTGAAGAAGCTTTTGCAGAGTGTGGCCAATCTAAGCAACATAATTGTAGAGTTCTACCCCGCCCCACTAGAGTGCTATGATCCCCTGGGTTCTGTCCTGGTTGAGAAATTTGCCCAGTTGTGTCCTGAGCTTCTGGATATACTTTGTGCCAAAAGGCAGCCCAACACAATACGTTTTACTACAGACATCTGCCTTGAATGCTACATGCCATGTTTTTATGACACTGAGGCCAGACTTTGCCAGTGCTGGCAATAATTAGGAGATTTCTTCTGGATACTGAGAAATGAAAGTCTATGTGTTGGATTCGAATAGTTTGGACCCAGAACACATGGCTTCAGGCACTGTGTGATGCAATGGAAGCAAGAGTGTTCAGGTGATGCACTCCACAGAGACTAGCTTGACTTGAAGTATAATGGGAGCACAGTGATATTGTCTTGTCAAATCAGAAAGGCAGTTTTGCATTTCTATCTGTACATCTCTCAAAACAGGATCACCATTGACTTGAAAATATGTGACAATCTTAAGCATGTGGTCACACTAGGAACGTGGATATTCTTCACTGATGTCCTCAGTTATTGATCTCAGCTTTAGGTCACAGTCAATGTGTCTTGAGACAGCATGGGTACAATTTAGGGCATCATGGTCCAAGGATTGTCTTCATCAAAATGAAATGAAGTGATTTATGGCATTGCCTTTCCCCTACTTCCCATCGTATAGCTGTTCAGTGGATTGTTTGTTTAGACTTGTTAACTGAATGCAGCAGTGTGGTCCTGATCTCCTTTGAAGATGATTTTGGAGAAACACAGAAAATTGCATCGCAGGGTACTCAGACAAGGTTTGCTGGGAACCCCTTGAAGATGACTGATGCCGAATCCTTGCCTAGAAACATGACTGACCTGAGACCTTGTTCACTATGTGCTTTGTGCTTGTCAACTCTGTCTTTATTTTCTAAGAGAGTAGCCAAGTCAGCTATTTTATTGTATCAGGTAGCATTAAGAGAATTTTTATTCCTCTGTATTTTCATTGGTCTTATTTAAATAAAACAAATGCCCATATTCGCACATGTCATTCTGTTGCCCTGCTTTCTTAATACACCATACTAACTGTGAAGGACACTTGATTATCACACTTTGGACAGAACAATTCCTGGGGGGTGATGTGATTACCAGCATATGGAATATCTACACAAGACCGTGATTCCTAACACCATTTAGAAAAGTGTGGAGGTTCACAGAGTTTATTGTTTCATCAGTGCTCAAGGGAGTTGTCAGTCACAGGCTAGGAGCCTACAGTGACTATGAGGAATTTTCTTGTTCTTCTCAAATGTTTCTTATTTTAGCTATGAAGCTGGAGTCCCACAACACACCTTAATCACAGCATATAGAATACATCCGGTATCCATGCAGTTAGGGTCTGAAAGCGTTTCAGGTCAATTCATCCACAGAAATATGGAGGAAGACACTGCAGCCAGGTTGCTCCTGCATGAGGGTCCCTTGGCTACCAGTGTTCTTCAAGATAGGAAGCCTTGAAACTCTTCTGGATGCAGAATTCTGAGGAACGTGCAACAGAAGCATTTTGAGTGGCTGGATCACCTGGGCCATTTGTTTACATTGGTGTCTAGTCCCCCTAATTCTGAACACATATTATCTTTTAAGGAAAACATACATATGTGTATCAGTACAAGTATAAACTGAGTATTATACACAAGATGGAAAAAGATTTTCTTAAAGGTTAACGTTAGTTTTCATGAAGTTAAGCACGTAGCTACTTATACAGTGTTATATGGTAAGTTCTCATGTTGTTAAGCACATAGTTTCTCATACTGTGTTGTATAATTAGTTTTCATGAAGTTAAGTACGTAGTTTCTCATATAGTGTTATATAGTTAGATTTCATGAAGTTAAGCACGGAGTTTCATAGACTGTGTTTTATCGTTAGTTTTCATGAAGTTAAGTGCGTAGTTTCACATATAGTGTTATATAGTTGTATTTCATGAAGATAAGCACATAGTTTCACACACAGTGTTGTATTGTTAGTTTTGAAGAAGTTAAGCACTTAGTTTCACATACTCTGTTGTGTCATTAGTTTTCATGAAGTTAAGCACGTAGTTTCTTGTTTTTATTTTAATTTTTTTTATTTTTTTCATTCTTTTTTTTTAAATTTAGATAAGAAACAAGGTTGCTTCACAAGTCAGTTCCAGGTCCCTTTACCTTTCCCTCCCCTCCTCCCGTGCCCCCAATCCCCATCCCCCGTTATCCCTCGTTCCCCCAGGGAGGGTGAGGCCCTCCATGGGGGTGTCCATAGTCTGTCATTTCATATAGGGCAGGGCCTAGACCCTTCCACAATAGTTCAGGTTGAGAGTGCACCTCACATTGTTCAATGGGAGTCCAAAGACCGTGTGTGTATTTGGGATGGGTACTGATCTGCTGCCCAGGGCTCAATAGATTACCTAGGCCTCCTCACTGACACCCAGATTCAGGGGGTCTTGATCAGTCCCATGCTGGATTCCCATGGTGATGCCTGGGATTCAAGAGTTAACCTTTGTCTGGTCAGCTGTTTCTGGGGGTTAAACCAGCCCAGTCTTAATCCCTTTGATCATCAGTCCTCCCTCTCTGATACTGGCTTTCTTGAGTTCAGCTCACTACTTAACCAGCCACTAAATGTAGTTTCTGTTTCCCAGACTCTCTGGCCATAGGATTGTAGGCTGGCACTCCCCAGATCTATGTCTAAAATCCATATATGAGAGAGTACATGCCATGTTTCTCTTTTTGTGACTGGATTACCTCACTCAGGATGGTTTCTTCTAGTGTCATCCATTTGCCTGCGAATCTCATGATTCCATTATTTTTTTCTGCTGAATAGTACTCCATTGTGTAGATGTACCACATTTTCTCTATCCACTCTTCGGGTGAGGGACATCTAGGTTGCTTCCAGGTTCTGGCTATTACAAATAAAGCTGCTATGAACATAGTGGTACAGACATCTTTGTTGTATGAATGGGCATCTTTTGGGTATATGCCTAAGAGTGGAGTTGCTGTGTCTTGTGGTAGGTTTATTCCTAATTTTCTGAGGAATCTCCATACTGCTTTCCAAAGTGGCTGAACCAGTTGGCACTCCCACCAGCAATGGAGGAGTGTCCCCCTTTCACCACATCCTCTCCAGCATAAATTGTCATTGGTGTTTTTGATTTTAGCCATTCTGACAGGAGTGAGATGGTATCTCAGAGTTGTTTTGATTTGTATTTCCCGGATGGCTAAGGATGTTGAGCACTTTCTCAAGTGCCTCTCAGCCATTTTAGACTCCTCTATAACTCTCTATTTGTTCTGCAGCCCACTTTTTAATTGGGTCCTTTGCTGTTTTGGAGACTTGCTTCTTGAGTTCTTTGTAAATTTTGGAGGTCAACCCTCTGTCAGATGTGGGATTAGTGAATATTTTTTCCCATTCTGTGGGCTGTCTTTTTGTCTTGCTGACTGTGTCCTTTGCCTTACAGAAGCTTCTCAGTTTCAGTAGGTCCCATTTATTAATTGTTGATCTCACTGTCTGTGCTACTGGTGTTATGTTCAGGAAGCTGTCTCCTGTACCAATTCGTTCAAGGGTACCACCCACTTTCTCTTCTATGAGGTTCAGTGTGGCTGGATTTATGTTGAGGTCTTTGATCCATTTGGACTTAAGTTTTGTGCATGGCGATAAACATGGATCGATCCACATTCTTCTACATGCCAGTCTCCAATTATGCCAGCACCATTTGTTGAAGATGCTTTCTTTATTCCATTGTATATTTTTAGCTTCTTTGTCAAAGATCAGATGTTCGTACGTGTGTTGGTTAATACCCGGATTTTCAATTCGATTCCATTGGTCTACCTGTCTATTTTTGTGCCAATACCAAGCTGTTTTCAGGACTATAGCTCTATAATAGAGCTTGAGGTCAGGGATGGTGATGCCTCCGGACATTGCCTTGTTGAACAGGGTTGTTTTGGCTATCCTGGGTCTTTTGTTTTTCCATACAAAATTGATTATTGTTCTTTCAAGGTCTGTGAAGTATTGTGCTGGGATTTTAATGGGGATAGCATTGAATCTGATAGATTGCTTTTGGCAGGATTGCCATTTTTACTACATTGATCCTACCTATCCAAGAGCATGGGAGATCTTTACATTTTCTGAGGGCTTCTTTAATTTCTTTCTTTAGAGATTCAAAGTTCTTACGATACAGGTCTTTCACTTGTTTGGTTAGCGTTACCCCAAGGTATTTTATGTTGTTTGTGGCAATTGTAAAGGGTGATGTTTCTCTGATTTCTCTTTCAGCCCTTTTATCATCTGTATATAATAGGGCTACTGACTTTCTTGAGTTGATCTTGTAGCCTGCCACTTTGCTGAAGGTGTTAATCAGTTGTAAGAGTTCGCTGGTAGAGTTCTTTGGGTCATTGATGTAAACTATCATATTGTCTGCAAACAGTGAAAGTTTGACCTCTTCCTTCCCAATTTGTATCCCCTTGATCCCGCTTTGTTGTCGTATGGCAATAGCTAGAACTTCAAGTACCATGTTGAAAAGGTATGGAGAGAGTGGACAGCCTTGTTCTGTTCCTGATTTTAGAGGAATTGCGTTGAGTTTCTGTCCATTTAGTTTGATGTTGGCTGTTGGTTTACTGTATATGGCTTTTATTATGTTTAAGTATGTCCCTGTTATCCCAGATCTCTCCAAGACCTTTATCATGAAGGGGTGTTGGATTTTGTCAAAGGCTTTTTCAGCATCTAGTGAGATGATCATGTGATTTTTGTTTTTCAGCTTGTTTATATGGTGGATTACGTTGATGGATTTTCATATGTTGAACCATCCCTGCATCCCTGGGATGAAACCTACTTGATCGTGGTGAATGATTGTTTTGATGTGTTCTTGGATCCGATTTGCCAGTATTTTATTGAGTATTTTTGCATCAATGTTCATGAGGGATATTGGTCTGAAGTTCTCTTTCTTGGTTGTATCTTTGTGTGGCTTGGGGATCAAGGTTATTGAAGCCTCATAGAAAGAGTTTGGCAAAGACCCTTCTGCTTCTATAGTGTGGAGCACTTTGAGAAGAATTGGTATAAGCTGTTCTTTGAATTTGTGGTAGAATTCTGCACTGAGGCCATCTGGACCTGGACTTTTTTTGGTTGGGAGACTTTTGATGACAGCTTCTATTTCCAGAGGGGTTATAGGTCTATTTAAATTGCTTATCTGTTCTTGATTTAGTTTTGGCAAATGATAGCTGTCCAGGAAGT